GCATCTGAGCATTTGTGATAATGCTTCACTATTTTTTTGGATTTTACAAATTTGGCGAGAAGGGAAGAAAATATGAGGCCATCTCTAAATTTCCTTAATCTGGCTGCCCATCTGATCTTTTGCAGTGGTGATCGTGACAATGTCTCACCCTAGTGTGTCGGTTATAGAGGTTTTGCTCTAATCAAATCGTTCAGAGGAAACACGAAAACATTTTCGAGTTTCTATTTAAGGAAATTCAGAAATAATTTAGTTGACACTCAAGGATTATAGGTGGAAATCATTTTGCTTATTTTGTGTTCGAAGCGTATATTTGTTGTAAATGGTAGTTGCCACGATTCCTTCTAATCAAGAATCATAAATCCTGCACCATAATATATTCGCTATACATTATTCTGTCCGATGTAACAAGATAACAATCGCCTTTTCTGACCTTTTGTATGACTTAGCGCAGGTGTATACCTTCTACCAATAATAAAAAGCGCGTCGGTCTCGCGATTATCCTGCGGTTTGTGGGCGCAATCTCACACACCCCCACCGTCAATCCTCTCCCCCGACCTCTGTCTATTGGCCCGTGTCCCCTTTTAGCCTGTGTGGACGCGCCGCCTTATGATTGGTCCACATGACTGCACACGCACGCACACACCAGATGAAACCTGCGTCCCACCGAGTATGCCATTCACTTTTCGAAATGTCTTCCACCAACACCAATCTCTCAACTCAGCTCCAGTCACCAGACCAACTACTCTACCTCTGCGAAGTGGTGCAAAAGTCGGAGGACTACGCTCGGCTGCATCACCTCCTTGCATATTGTCGCGATGCTGCTCCGCCTAGTGTCCAGCAAAGCGATACAGTGGTAAAGTGCCTAGCGGTGCTAGCGCTGCTGGAGGGCCGCTATCAGGATGTCTTTGCCATCCTTCAGACACGTTACTTCGCACCACGTCATCATGCGCGGTTGCAGGAGTTGTGGCTACGCGGTCACTACGAGGAAGCTGAGCAAGCACGAGGCTGTTCACTGAGCGCGGTGGGGCGCCATCGCCTGCGGAAGAAGCATCCTCTACCACCTACCATCTGGGATGGGGAGGAAACAAGCTACTATTTTAAAGAGAAGTCGCGAAGGCTGTTGCGTCAACAGTACGCAGAGAATCCCTACCCTTCGCAGTGGGAGAAGAAGGAGCTTGCAAGACGCACCGGTCTCACTGCTGTGCAAGTCTCCAATTGGTTTAAGAACAGACGACAACGGGATCGAACAGGAGAGTGCCTTTCACCGGCTTCGTCAAAGTGAGTTTTTATTAACTTGATTAAAGACTGAAATTTGATTATTTTCGATTTAGTTAGGATTGTAAGATTACTGTGTAAACGGATAGTAAATCATCGTATCAACTTCAGGATCTGGCCCTGAGTCTGAATTTGTTCCTAAAGAGACAGACCTGATTCTCCAGTACTTGAGCCGTGATGTGCTAAAGAGTACGTCAGTGGACGGAAAGTATTTTTTGAGTGTATAGCAATGTTTACACACAGAATGTTTACTATGCACTATTTTGGCATGCAATATTGTCATAATTGGGAATTTGACGCGTGCACTCCATGAATTTGTCAGTTTATTTTCAAAATGGAACTAAGCTTTTGAATTTTAGTCAGTTAATTGCTTCTAGGCGGACTCTGCTTGCACAACAATGGTGATTTTAAGTCTCGGCATTGATGTCCTCGAGTCAAGTTGTAGGACACAAAGGAGTGTGTTTGCTCTGATCTCGATGTTGGATAAGTAGTAGCCCAGTCTGTAATTGGTCTGCAGTACTGACGAAATTCCAAATACCTCGTTGCCCAACTGAGGGAGGTGGAGGGGAGAAAATAAACTCAAAATTTGCATTGTCACCGAATAGGTGGAAGGAGAACTCGGAGTGAGGGAAGTTTCAAAAGACACAGCGGTGTGAGAGAAGCTTTTCAAAAGTTCTACCTGCAACTGGCTCAGATTACTCTTAAGATTTAACTCTTCAGAAACCCATTTGCTACTGAGGGTTGCCTATGGGGTAAAATGTGCAAAATATGAATACTCAAGTGCTGCAATGCCGTGGTTTTATTTTCTTATCTTCGCACCCAGTCGTAAAATCTTTCCTAATGCACTTGACTTTTATATCTTGACCGCAAGACATGAACTGGCGTACCAAGATTTTCAAAAGCTCCGGTCTGTGTGCCTTTAATTTTTTGCCATTGGTGAGACAGTTCGTGGGATAAAACCACCACTCATGGGTGCATTCGATCCCTCATCGCCCAGTCCCATTTGCCTGCACAAAATTCAACAATAAAAACCTCAATGTTGTCCATGAATTCATCCTTTGAATCCACTTATCTTCATAAGCGACACGCTTTACTCCAGGAGAGGCAGTTTATTAATGGGATGTTCGGTCCAACCAAAGTTATGACTACTTTATGCAATTTGGCCGCTTCATCTTGGCTTTAGGCTGTGGTAAGGCAGGCAAATGGAAGGGAATCGTGAATGGTATCATTCTAGATTGGTAGTGCGGTGTGAGGATTTACGGAAGTGGATAAAGGTTCTGGTTTTTTGTTTTTACTGATGTACACACAACATAAGTCGAGGCTTTCGAATAAAAGTAAGAGATGATTGGGGAAATAAATTTTTCTAAATATAGGGGCAGAAATTTCAAAAAAAGGGACCACTGTCTTTAAATTAACAGTCTTCTCTTGCAAAGGGCCCAACACAGCGCAGCTTTGGAGTTCCGATGAAGTTATTTGCGTTATACCTCAAGCGAGTTGCAAATATGATCGCGGAGGCAAATGGTGCCGTTTCTGTTAGTGAGTTGTCGTAAAGGTCCACTTTTCAAAGTTAGGCTTAAATGTTGTCCGGTATGGAAAAAGGGGAGGAAGGAAATCTTAGTCCATGACAGAACATGATCGAATATGAATGCGTTTGGGTAAGGGGATGACGGTGTGCAGTGGAGTCCTGCTAGGGTGCAGGGTGCAGGGGGATTCCGCATTCGAAACCGTTGCAGGTCATTCCCACAAACGCCAGCCTGTGCACTTATTTAGTATTCCACCCTGCCAATTTATACCCTTGGCCAAGTCAAGTGAACGTTTGCTATTCATCGGTGAATCCGGATTTCATAAATTTACACAACTCCTCCATTGCATTCATCCAGAGTTGAACTTATGCACAGGTCGCAACTTTCCGTGCTATTCCAAAGTCATCGAATCCAAAGTTTCACCATCATGAAGATAGGTAGTAAAGGAAGCTAAGGAAATGCTTTACAGTTGGAGAGCCTTAAACTTCAGCGTAAATATTCCCCCAATTTGCACATGTTTGTGTTCTTGGAAGGCTGCGCACTTTTAACTGACATTCCTTCAAGATGTTTGAATTCTAATAGAAGCGGTCTTAAATGGCGTCATTAAGACCAGTCTTTTAGCAGCCATAGGACGAAGTCTGCGCGAGTGGTTAATCTCTGACATGTGAGAATTTTGATGGTTTTACCTCAAGCCCGAAGGGAAAACATGTCCTTGCATCCCCCTTCCGTCCCCTTCTGTCCACCAACACCAGTCTAATCGGCTGGCGAAATTGAATTAAACGAATCACAGCAAAATTTATTTCTTGTCCCCTTTAGACAAATGCCTCAGTTCTCCCCTTAAAGTTTGGAGTAGCAGATAAAACAACAACTTCCATAAATCAAATTGTCACACAGGCTCCCTCCACCTTCCACCGAGTACACCTGAGCTCTGCAAGACCATCGTGAACCACCCACGTTGACTTTGTTACGTTTAAAATGCGTGTCCAGACGGTCAGACTGTTTTATTACACTATTTGATACATCTTTGCGACACGCAAACACCTCTGGTGGCGAGGCAGGAGGGGGACACGGAACTCCAACACAGCATCCACTTTACTAAGTATGC